ACATAAATAAATATGAGACACTTGGGGGATCTTCTGCTTGAGGCGTTGACATCTGAGTGGGTCTTTTTCCACCTGGTCTAACTCCCAGGGCTGTTGGAAGGACAAGTTATGAAGAAGAGGAGCAACTGACTCCTTCCCTTGAACTTACTGGAGGAAAGGCAGGATATAAATGTCACATCTGAAGCCACATCTAAGGGCCCGGCTGACATGAATTTTTAACAAGGGCCATATGGTGCACTGAGGATGGGGTGCAGATCTTGCAGCATTAGCTCTGCACAGGCCAATTCAGCCACATTAGCAGTTGCAAAGGCTCGGAAAGCATTTTCCCTTGTGCCTGGCAGTTGGTTACACACATTTAATTTGGTTGACTTACAGAGGCTGCAGGCAATGCATTTACCTGGATAAGCTTTCCACGCGTACTTGGGCACATTTAGACACATTGAATGGCAGTTGGTTACACACATTTAATTTGGTTGACTTACAGAGGCTGCAGGCAATGCATTTACCTGGATAAGCTTTCCACGCGTACTTGGGCACATTTAGACACATTGAATCATGTGACCCATGCTGGCCCACTTGGATATTTAAAGGATAGGCTTGGAAAAGAAACTCAGCTGAGTTCACACTGCCCTACCAAAAATGTCTCCTCTTTGCCTCCTAGGATGGGCAGGGGGGTGAAGTCTATATGCACAAACAGTATACCTTTTGGAGATGAACTGCTTCAAGGCAAGGAACTGCTGGATAGCTCAGTGGCTTGGGTATGCAGCTGCAGAAGCAAAAATTGGAAATTCTATTCCCCACTGTGCCTCCCTAACCAGAGCTGGACTCAATCCAAATGGTCCCTTCCACCTCTGCAGCTCAAAGATTATATTAACTGCTGTAGATACTACCAGTTTCATACTGAGTGAAACTGGTAGTATCTACAGCATGCATCTGATAATGCGTGTAGTAATTTCTTTGCTTGGGACAATCTGCCTCTCAAAGTTACTCCACTTGTGTAGCTACGCAACAGAATTTTGACCAATGCATTCAAAACAGTGATGGAGCCTGTGATGGGGAAATTTTGGTTCTCCTGAAGTTTTAGCGTACAACTCCCACGAGTTGTCCAAGAGTGACAGACTAAGGGACTTCTAGCCTCCATATGTTTTCAGGCTGCAGGTTCAACATCACTGATGTATGAAACCTGGTGGGAACTTATCCAGAAAACTCTGCACAGAGCTCCCCACCGTGACCCTACATGGTGAGCAACATGCTGCTTGGGGGCAGAATACAACCTCCAGGGTTCTTGATTTGTTCCCCCCTGCTACTCCCCTAGCACTGCTACAGTCCAAAATATGTCTTTCTTTTTTTAAAAAAGTGGTTTTTAAAAGTCCCCTCGAGTTCAATGGGTCCTCCATATCCCTCTCCCATTTTTAATTAATTAAATCCCAGACCGTTTTTTTTTGGGGGGGGGGGATAACACTAGAGTGAACAACTGGTGCTTTTTTCTGTAAAAACAAACAAACAAAAACCACTCAATTGTTCTCAAAATTTTGGGGAGGGGGGAAGAGGTCAAAGACCAGCCCTCCAAGATCCAGGGTTGGGGAGGGACAGCCTCCAGATCTCTGAACGTTGCCCATCCCTGCCTTCCCACGCATAAACCTGTTCAATACATATGCACCACTAACGATGGCAGAAATGGAGTGTCCTTAGTCCCAGGTGGCCGAATGGACTGTATCACACCCAACTGCAGAAGCATGAAAATGCAACCCATGTTGACAACAAAGCAATTATTTAGAAATAATTTGTAAACAGGCTTGTTAACTGAGGGCAGCATTTTTTTTGAAAAAAAAAACTCACCTTACATAGGCTCTGCACGTATACAGAGCGATCACATTCCAAGATTTACTTAGAATCTATTTCAAGGAAGTGAACTAAGGATTACTGCTTCAGCAAAGTTTGTAGAACAGTGGGAGCCTTTTAAAACAAGTAAAAAAAAGTATAAGCAACATTCCAGGACGTACCTGCACAAGAGGCACGGTTGAAAACAATTCCGCAGGAGACACTGGTTTGACAATTTCCTAGAGACAAATAGACAAAAAGACATCTAGTAAACACAAGGAACATATAAGTGGACGGAAAAAAATAGCTAGATTTAATAAGTGTAATACAATAAAAGAAAACAAATGAAGCTGAAGATGTATTTTTATACATTGTGCTAGATTGATGGAAAATGTGGTGCAGGCTGAAAAAATCTGCAGAGACCAAACTGAATAGCATGCTTGAGCTTTGGTAATAATCATCATGCGCTCTCAAGTTAATTATGACTTATGGTAGCCCTTTCTAGGGTTTCCTAGTTAGAGAATACACAGAAATGGTTTACCATTCCCTGTTTCTGGGGACATTTTGGAACTGGGCAGCCAGCCCAGGCCCACACAGGCTGGCTCCTCTCCCAGGAAGCAAGTGGGGAATCGAACTCCCAACCTCCAGCTCTGCCTAAGCCACTGAGCCATCCAGCCTGCTTCCGCTTTGGTAAACAAGTAAAAAGATTGCACTACAACCCTATGATACTGTTCAAAGGGAAATCCTACTGAATTTAACAGGGTTTCATCTGATATGTAGTTAATAACAGTGCTGCTCAGTTTTCCCCATAAACCCTACAAAAATTGCATTATTCTTAATAGTGTTAATATTAAGAATTACCGTACTATTCCTTATTCACTCTTATTTCACGTTTTCCTCACTCCTCCCCTTTTGTTCACTGAACATCTAGGGAGGGAAAGGAGAGAGCACCTGCTGACTTTTGTGCATAACATTCATGCAGCTGATTAGGCCTGTTTGGGGTGAAGGGGGCAGCTCCCTTTATTTTAGTAGGCTTATGGCATTTCCATGTATTAAATACTTCCTTTGCTGAAATTAATGGGGAAACTCTTGAGGAAGTCCTTTTCCTCTCTTGGGAACACAGAAGTCCTGGTCAGACCGCATACGCGAGTGTCCCAATGGGAAAGTCACTGAGCATCATTCTCCGATGTACAATCAGTATGAAGGATTATACAGGGAAGTGCAAACATCCTTGAAGGTTTGAGGATATAACAGCTAAGAAACAGTTCTCTTACCATGTTAGTGTATTTTTAATGGTCCTCTTTCTTTCTTTGCATCAGACTGTTGCACAATTTAAAATTACAGACATATAGGAAATGTAGGTAAAATTGAAAAAAGTTAAAATGTTAAGATGGACTTTTTTTGTATTCGTGAAGGCTTTCATGGCCGGGATCTAATGGTTGTTGTGGGTTTTTCGGGCTCTTTGGCCGTGTTCAGAAGGTTGTTCTTCCTAACGTTTCACCAGTCTCTGTGGCCGGCATCTTCAGAGAACAGCATAGAAAAACCCACAACAACCACTGGACTTTTTTTATCGGAAGTGGGTTACTTCAATAGTATTATTGAGCTTCGTGGCACAGTGGTTAAAACGCTGTACAACCCACAACAACCACTGGAGTTTTTTTATCGGAAGCTGGTTACTTCAATAGCATTATATCAGTCATTTGCTAGATCATCTTTTGTGCATATTGTGGGGCATAAACTGAATGGACAAAAAATTGTTTTAAAACCCTCAACAATTAATATCAGCCATTTGCTAGATCATCTTTTGTGCATATTGTGGGGCATAAACTGCATGGACAAAAAATTGTTTAAAAACCCTCAACAATTATCTGCTTTGCAATATACAAGTTAAAAAGTCAAATAGAGCAGTTGTTTTTCCTGTCTCCCTTTGAGAAAATGACAAGGTAACCACCTTCCCTAGCTGTCTCATAGTAACAGAACAAATAGTTTCTTCCTTGTTTCCAGCCTCTGCCAAAGTTATATTCTTTACTAGGCTTAGAGATTGGAAATGTAATTTTTCCAGTATTCCTCTCCCAGAAACCTCCAGACAACATGGCTAGGGGCCATGATAGCTGGAGGAATCAAATAGTTGTTTCAATAATGGAACTTCTCGAGTTAGCAGACTACAGTGGTGCCTAGCATGATGACGTTAATTCGTTCCGTGAAAAATGTTGTTTCAAAATGGAACTTCTCGAGCTAGCAGACTACAGTGGTGCCTCGCATGATGACGTTAATTCGTTCCGTGAAAATCGCTGTAAAATGAAAACGTCGTCATGCGATTTTAAAAAGTCCATAGAAACGCATTAAAACCCGATTAATACGTTCCTAGGGGCTTCAAACTCACCGTCCAGCGAAGATCCTCCATAGCGCGGCCATTTTCGCTGCCCGTGCATCGAGGAATCCGTGCCAAAAAACAACGGGCGGCCTTTTTTTTTTTAACCCGGTGGCCATTTTGAAACCGCCAATCAAAAAACGGGCGGCCTTTTTTTTTAACCCAGTGGCCATTTTGAAACCGCCAAGCAGCTGTGCGAAAATCATCACTTTGCGCCGATCGGTTACTGAAACAGGGGACCGATCATCGCAAAGCGAAATTCCCCCATAGGGAACATCGTTTTGTGATCGCTGTTGTCAAACGGAGCGCTTTTAATGTGAGTCACCACTGTATAGTCATTTTTATTGCCTTTAGAGGCAAGCACCAAAAACAGCCCCTACAATAGACCTTTTCATCCTGGTTCCTGCTACTGATGTACTAAACTACAGGTCCCCAGCATCTGTAACTCTCAAAACAGTGCTGGCTGGGGATAGTAGGAATTGAAATCTAATTCATTTTGGATGGTAGCTTGAGGAGAGCTGCTGTCCATGAGCATTTTCAAAGAGGACCTTACCTTTTTCTTTTCTTCATAGTCAACAACATAATTGATTGCTACAGTCGAATAGCCAACTATAAATAAAATGAGGTAAAATTAAATGGAGAGCAGAGTTTTTAAGAAAGTTAAGCATGATTATGTTCCAAAACAGATCTTTCATATCAGGATATCTCAAAGAAACAAAGTTTAGATAGGAAAAAAAATACTGACTTCTCCTGCTAAAAACACAGTATTAGACCACATATGTCTTTGGCCTGATCCTGCAGTTCTGTAAGGAAATACTGCCACCTTAATGCTATGTACACAAGACTGTTATTTGTTCTGCCATGTGCTGAGCTGCAATGTGCAGTTTCTGGGCAGATCATGAAAAGAAAAAGCAGCAAATCTGTTGCTATTCAATTTTATTGTCAAATGCAGCAACTATTTGAGATCATTGACAAGATAATACACAAGATTAAATTGTGTTATTTCCACTGGAAACAGAAACCCTCACATAATTAAGATAAAAGAAACCCCCCTCTTTGTATGTCAGGACTTAAAGCAGAATAATCTTAGAAAATATTCCTTCCTGTATATATCATAAGTAAAAACTTTCTTTTTATGAAATCTTTCAGTCTGGATCTTGCCACAAGCAGTGAGGAGGAAGAGAAGGCAACAGTTCTTAACATGCCCCTAAAAACATTCTGAAAAGAAAAAAAATGCTAGACCACCATGGTTTGTTTCTCTTCTTCACACATCACGTTATACAATATTTTTACTGTTAGCCGCCCAGAGTAGACATGTGTCTAGATGGACGGGGTATAAATTTAAGAAAGAAAAAATGCTAGACCACCACGGTTTGTTTCTCTTCTTCACACATTACATGTTATGCAATATTTTTATTGTTAGCCGCCCAGAGTAGACATGTGTCTAGATGGACGGGGTATAAATTTAATAAATAAATACTACTTTTGGAGCTGGTAGAACTCAGTGGTTTGGGAACCCGAGGGGCAGAGCAGCCTGAATCCCCATTGTGCCTCAGGGAAAAGAGGTGAGTGAAAATCACACAGGGTGTGTGTGTGTGTGGCTGTTTAATGTGCCTCACCAACCGTGTCAACCTGGGCAAGCTGCATGGTCCCAGAGTGGTAATTTATATTGAGAAAATACCAGGAGGGTCACCACAAGCTGCATAAATTACACGAACCTTGACGATTATGCATCCACTCTTCTCTTAAATTAAGAATATCTACTTAGCTTCTCCCCCCATGTCATCGTGGCGGATATAACATCCTGCTGGCAACAACCAGCTTTTCCAAGCAAGCAACGGACCCGAGAACGAACCGGAGCAGGGGCGTTACTTAGCCCAGGAGGGAAACTCTTTCATCCCGAACCAAGGTAAAGCGACAGGCTCCCAAACTGCGAGCGGGAAGCAGCGGGAAAACCCCTCCAGCCCCGCCACCCCAGACTTTGCTCTCTTTCCGATCCACTTCCCGCCTTTCACCCCCCCTACCCCATCCTTGCCCTGAATGCTTTTGTCCCCGGGCCGCTCGGCACTCACGGTGGGCTGCAGTTTCCACCAATTTCTGCAGCGACTCCTTCTCCTGCAAGTAAGGGATATTCAGGTCCACAAAGCCAGCCATGTTGAATCCACGTGTGTGTGTGGGTGGGTGTGCGGGGAGGGGGAGAGAATAACCCCGGCGAAAGAACGGCGTTTACACCACCCCTCTCGTCCCGCGGAATGCTGGGAATTGTAGTTTTTTAAACCGCAGTATTACCGACACCGTCAGGGAGCGGAAGGGTGCTACGTTTGACTAGAAATGCGGACCTGTGCTTCAAGAAGAGGCGCCGTGAAACACCTCGGGATGGCTACGAAAGAAACATTAGCAAAGGCGCGCAGATATGTCTGTTTATTTGTGGAAGTATATGGCTTCTTTTCCATTGCACGGTGTACTAGTAGGTACATTGTGCTCGGATGGACGGCTCTTCCAGGTGTTCGCCTTCTAGGTGGTGGTGTTACAATTCCCATCATGCCTGCTCATAAAGCCGCGGTGACTGGGGCTTCGCGGGGGGGGGGTTCCGAACACCTGGAGGGCCAGAACTTCTCCACCCCGATGTAATGGTTGACTTTCCATTTTGAAAAGTCAACATGCCTCTGTGTAGCTTTGGTTCCTTAAACGAACACCTGGAGGGCCAGAACCTCTCCACCCCAATGTAATGGTTGGCTTTCCATTTGAAAAGTCAGCATGCCTCTGTGTAGCTTTGGTTCCTTAAAAGTCGAACGGGCGAGTCCAAAGCCTGTGAGGAAGCACGCAGAGGGGGTTTATGGGACCCCCAGAAGTGAAGGTAGCGCTCAGGAATACAACACTGCTTCAGTCTTTGGTGTGTCCGATTAAAATGATGTAAGACCTAGTGATGTGGAAGACATGAAAAGTTACTGCCACACAGACCATTTGTTGCTCTTGGAAGTACAGTTCTGAAGTGAATTGTTTGGTAAGATGGGGAAAAAAACACAACTTTTCAGAATGTTTCAACAGCTAGAGTTCGTTTTGTCTTGGTTTTGGTAACTCTTTTTCCAAAGGTACAGTTAGGCAGCAAGTGTGCTTGGAGGGTTTTAACTAGCTCTCTACACCACTACTCAAATTTTAAAAACAGACAAATCTGAAAGAGAAGTTCACAAAGATAAAGATTTCGGCAAGATTTCTTCAGGAGGTTTTAAAAAAATCATTATACTGATTTCAAGATTTTTAAAGAGGTTTTAAACAAGGCTTGTTTGTTTATTATGTTTCTATACCACCCCATAGTTAAAAGGAACTCTCGGTATGGTGTACAAACACCCAGAATATCACATTACAGCCACCACCAACAAAAGAGCGGCTAAACAATGAATAATCAATGGACAAATAAAATGATAATAAAATAGTAGCATACTATTTCCTGCTGAATAACAACAATTACATTAATATATATATTGGGACCTTGCAGTTGTGGCCAGGTATATATTGAGTCCACAAAATGCAGCATCCACACCAGAATCAAAGAACATGAAAGATACTGCAGACTAAAACAACCAGAAAAATCGGCAGTAGCTGAACATGCTCTGAAACAAGCTGGACATGAAATCCTATTTCAAAACACAGAAATACTGGACAACTATCATTATGTTAGACTACACAGGGAAACCATTGAAATCCACAAACACCAGCAGAGCATCAACAAAAAAGAAGAAAGTCTAAAACTCAATAAATCCTGGCTCCCAGCACTGAAAAACATGGCCTGCAAAAGGTCAACAACCTCTACCCAGGCACAAGGAACCGTAATCAACGGACACAAAAGACTAGCTAACAACACCCATCAACTGTAGTGACAGGCCATCTCCCCTCTTTGTCACAACAATACACCCATAACAAAAAACACCCTGATCTCCATAATCACACAATCTCCTGAAAAGGACATAAAGCTGATCCCACAGCTACAAATACTTAACTATCTCACACACTACACCAGAATACAGAGTTCTAACTTCTGTCCTCTGAAGATGCTGGGCACAGAGACTGGAGAAACATTAGGAAGAAAAACCTTAGGAACATGGCCAAACAGTCTGAAAAACCTACAACAACCACCGCATCCTGGCCATGAAAGCCTTTGAGAATGCTATTAGAAATGCTCACAGGTTTTTCAGATGTAAGATCATCAAAGGCTGCCATAAAGATTTCGGTTTTCGGCATCTTTCTAAAAGTAAAAAGGGGCTTGGCAAACTGCCAACAGTAACTTCTTCCAAAATTAAAGAGGCAGAGAATCTATTCTCTGATTTCTTACAGAGAACAGGTTTGAGATACTCCTAGCTGGACGTTTTCCATTAGCGTTCAATCACACTGTGGCAGAAATCCTGCAGAGAAGAAATGCTGATTTATGCAAAGGAACAGAAACTTATATATGAAAAGAATTAGTGATGCTTCTCAGTTGGGCCACACGGATTTAGGCGAACCCTTTCTGGATTGGGCTCCCACGCACATCGGTTCCAGCCTTACATTGGTCCACCCAGTTTTGGTTTATGTAGATTTCAGTTTGTATCACAATTTTGTTAGTTTTTAAGATGCTACAGCATTCCTAAGGCTCTTCCAGGTGGAACATTGCTATCCTTTTAAGTTCCATATCATGCACTGATCATAACAACTTCTCCTGATATGCGGACATCATTTCCCTTCTCTTGCTTTAAACAAGATGAGAGGATTCCTGGAACTTTCCCTCCCCCCTCAAACCTTAGTTTGTTGATTTCGGGAGGTACTTAGTTCTGTGTCACTTCATAGCCTTGACACTGATGCATCAGCCAACAGATGTGTTCCCACCCCATCCCGTCTTCCCACTCTGCACATACCTCAGTTGCAAGAAGAGCTTGGTTTATCCTTTTCTCACTTCATTACAGAGGAAAATAAGGGGGTGAAAAGGCGAACTCCCACTTCTGTGGTAACATTGATGATAACAGCTTTTTCTTGTTGGAAAAGGAGGGATCAGCGCTACCAGGCTAGTCTGAACTGGATGTCTTCCTATCCAGTCTTCTTGAGGTTAAATACTAGCACCTTTTCAGTGGATATGGAGCCGTATTATACTGCTGCTGCTGTGGTGAGGGCATGAGTCCTGCTAAATCCAAGCATCTTTTGGCACCTTTCAAGAGAAAAGGAACTGGAGAAAGTCAGCAGACATACTCTGTCTGGCAGACCCCTTGACTGGTTTTTCTGCAGCAGATTAACATGGCTGCCCCGTGTGGTTTATGCAGAGTTTAGAAAAAACATTTTGGACAATCAGCTTCCTGTACTGTATCTCTCCCACCCTCCAACATGGAAACTGTAATCCAAAAAGATGTCCCACCATTTTCTGACCAGCATAGATTCAGAGGACTAGTAAAATTTGGTATAAATCTACAACTGTAAAGAACATGTATGCAATCATCAGAACTTATTCATAAAACAAAGCAAGGTTGTTTCCCTGCTGGATCTTGAAATAGTGGCTGTGTCTTTCACCAAACAGCCCATGGTGATTTCATGCCATCCGTATTTTATACATTTTTGCTGTCTGATCCCAAAGACATCATGGTGCCATTTCATCACATTTCTCCTACAGAAGACAACAGGACTAGCCTTTGAGCCTTACTTCACCACTGGCAGCAGGACAAACTACTGAGGTGGTCATCTCACTGTGCCTAATGGTAAAGCCGGCCCTGTGCCATACTTAGCTGGGAGATGAAGCAATTTTGTACTCAGATACAAAATGGGTTTCCTGATGACACTTTGATGCAAGCTTTACAGGAATCAGTTGATCAACATCTGGCACTACGACAGCATTGCACTCCAGTCTCTCATCTCCTGACACTCGCCAGATGCCAAGTAAAACAGGGTCTGTCTCAGCATTTCATGATTGGGACTGTCCTGTGGTGCCTACTGGGACGATCTTCTACAAGGCTACACCTTTCTTCTGGTGCTGCTGACCCTAGCTTAAAGACATTGTGCTAATCATTCCTAGTAATTGGGCCATGCAGTCTGTCAATATCTTGATGTGTGCAGTGGGGGTGGAGGGGGGGAAGGAACAGCATCTCTTGTAAGCTCTGAGTTGCTGTAGCACATGTGAAAACAACATCAAGCAAAAAAAGCTGAATCCAGATGGTGACTTTGCCCTTGGGAAGAGCAGACAACTTGTTTCCCTAGAACATGTTCTTGATAATGATTGAGAGTGATTTTTAGTACAGAAAACTTTCTCCTCCCCAAACTCAAAAACACCACACAAACTACTGTGTCCTTTGTCAGCACAACACAGGTCGTTATCACGATGAATAAGATAATGAGATAATTAGGACTACTTAACCATTAAACCTACTTTCAGTAACATCCTAATTAAAGAAAAAAGTAATAATAAGTGCTTTGTTTAAGAATATGAACAGAATCTTTCATTAACTGACATGAACCCACTCCTTAGAATAACATGAGGATTTTCTTTCCGAGTCCAAATGAAGTTCCATTCAAGTGGCTCCTTGGCCATTGCGAAAAATAAACAAATTATTGAAAAAGAGGACACTGATGTTTTTTTAAAAAAATGTGTACCTTAATAGACGTTTTTAGGTGCACAGTGAGAAGAGAGTGGCCAGGTGATCTGAGTGCCTCACTGGTCTTCTGTCTAGGTGATAAATGAGAATGCGCCAACCTGCTGTGCTGTCTATTTTTTTAAAAAAATCAACTGTCCTTTCAAGAGGGATCAAAATCAGGTCACAGTGACTTCAGTCATTTTACATGAGTGTAGTTTTTTAAAAGGGTGCATTGATGCTGTTTTAAAACTGCACCAGGGCTCCTCTCATAGCCAACCAGTGCCTGGTCAAGGCTTGACATATGGCAGGTTTTAAAACTGCACCAGGGCTCCTGTCATAGCCAACCAGCGCTGGGAGGTTTCCCAGCTACTGACAGTGCCTGGTCAAGGCTTGACATATGGCATAAATGGAGCTCCCCTTCGGGAAAGAACAGTGTTACAGCTTGGCCAGTGCCAGGGAGGTTTCCTCCCCATCTCAGCACCGGCTGGCTAGCAAATGTTGTTTCTGCTGAGGGGGCAGCTCCTTTTTCCCTACACAGTATAGGAAACGGGCAAGGCTGCTCTGACCCTCAGTGCTGTCTCTAATGGCGGGAAGCTTCCCAACACTGGCCAGCCTGTGGGCCAGCGACTGCCCCGTGTCCTGCTTTAATGCAAGGATTTGCATTGAAGCAGAACGTGTGGAACAAGCATTTTCACTCCTGTTTTCAGATACCCAGCAGTTTAAACAAACAAGTCAGCAACCCTCGCTGCAGGTTATCTGAAATGTGTCGCTCCTGCCTGAGAAGGAGCGATTTGGGATGACTAGGAAAAAAGACT